ATCTTTCTTCTGAATCTGGTTTCTCCAGTCCAGTTGTCACCTTCTAGTCTTCGTTGTAGTTCTTGCTTGGAAAGTTGTGTTGGGTTCTCTTGTAGTTGTTCTTGCTCTTGCCCTTGTCTGTTGATGATGGTTAGTCGCCAATCATCTAGTTCTCCTTCAGGTATTGGGCAACCGCTGTTGTGTGGTGTGAATACTGCTTTGCGTGGTCGTTTGTGTACTCTGACGGCGTAGTCACCATCAAGTTTCCAGTAGTCAGTGTTTCCACCAAGGATCTGTCGTAGACCTTGGTCTGTGTGGGTGAGTGGTGCAATTTGTTCTTGTTGTTGTACTGTTTTCTCCGTAGGTTGAATCACAGCAATGGATTTTCCATTGTCTGTAGTCATTGGGTAGATGTCGAATCCTGTAGGGATGTCGATCTTCTCTGCTCGTAGGTAGAAAAGTCCTGAGTGTCTTATAAGGTGTGCTTGTTGTTGTCCATGTGTGATGGTGCAGTGTCGTGGAGTGAAGTCAAGTCCATATCCTCTACCAAGTAGTCTTGATGCACTGAGGATTGGATACTTCACATCACAAACGTAGTAGGGTATCATGATCCTGAAGTTGTCCTGCTTGTAGGGAACGTACTTGATGCCGTAGACAGGAATCTTCTTGTTTGCAACCGTGTAAAGTTGTGGAACCGATTCTCCACAAGGTCGTAGCGGTAGGTCTGGTGCGTAGTCCTTCGGGCAAACATGTGTAGATGCTCCTGAGTCGATCAACAGGTGGTGGTATGACTTGAAGTTGGAGTACATGATGTAGTGTGTGATAGTGTCCTCAATCTTGTTCCTTTGTTGTTGTCTTGCTGCTGCTATGTCAAAGTGTGGCTGTGTGGTGTCTTCTTGTAGGAATTGTTGAAAGCTCTTGCTGTGGTCGTTCCATGATGTTGTGTGTGTTGTTCTCTTGCCAAGTAGTGATTTGGATTTGCGCTTGTGTAGTCGTGAGTTTGCTTGTCTGATGTGCCCAATGGTAAGGTGTGACTCGTTGATGCCTCCAATGTAGTTTGCTGTGTCCTCATAGCTGTTGTCATTCCAATCCCAGCTGTTGTCATAGTCGTAGTCGTTCCAGTTCTCCTCCATGTAGTTCACCTCGTGTTGTCCTTCTTCTCCTTCGTAGTACCAGTCCCAAGTGTCGTTCACATCCTGAGGTAGTTCTTCATTGTTGTCATGATCTGCTTGTTCTTGTTCTAGTGGGTGTAGTTCTTCTCCTTCTCCTATGTGCCATACTGGCACTGTGCAGTCTTGCGCCCAGTGGCCAGGCTTGCCACATCGATGGCATGTTGTGTAGTTGTTGTTTCCTTTTCCTTTTGATTTGCTGTAGTTTCCTTGGCCTTTGTAGCCTTTGCTTGAACCATATCCTTTGGATCCTGAGTAGCCTTTTCCTTTGCTCTTGTTGTATCCTCCTTTGTTGTAGTTTCCTTTGCTGCCTTTGTCGAATCCTTTGTAGTGGCCTTTGCTTCTGTACTTGCCTTTTCCTTTGTTTCCTTTGTAGGAGCCTTTGCCTCCATATTTGCTTTTGCCTTTGTAGTTTCTTTCTTTCCTCCAAATGTTGTCCACGTCCATTGGCGCTGTTCCACCATTGTAGTTTGTGCCAACTGCTGAGCTCGCTCTTGAGAATGCAGATATGGTCTTGTAGTAGTCCAGGATGACAACTCTGATCTCGTTGTAGTTCGTGATCTGTCCAGCACGTAGTTGGAGATGTTGTTGAAGTGCTCCTTTGGTCTTGTTGAGTAGTATTGCAATCTTCACTCCATCTGGCAATGCTGTGCCGTTGTCTTTCTCGTAGCGGTTGATGTCATATTCCCATTGTAGAAATTGTTCTTCAAATTGCGCTTCATTGAATGTAGGTTCCAGTAGTTTGGTAAGGTAGCCAACGCTTCTTGTTCCTACTGGTAGGCTGAACCTGTTGTGTAGTAGTCGTAGTGTTTCACATCCGTTTGCGTTGTAGCGGTTTTGCCTTACTACTGTAGCTGCTGCTCCCTGACAGATGTTGATGAGGATGTAGTGTAGATCGCGTGAGAGGTCTACTGCTTTTGTTGATTGTGTAGGGTCGCGTATGTGGGCTCTTATGTCTGTGTCCTCAATCTGTCGTGTAGCCACTTGTGCCAGTTGTAGCACCAGGTCGAAGTCTCGGTCTATGAGGCCGAGGTATGCTTGTAGCTTGAACAGCCATTCTTCATACTGGGAGTAGTCACCAGTGAAGAAGGGTGGTGGCAGTTTGTATCTATGTAGTCTCTGAACGTCGTTGTCTTGTTCTGTTCCTGCTCCCGTAGTTGTGGCTCCTACTGTGTCTGCTGTTGTGGGCCCGTCGTCTGCTCCTGTAGTTGGTTGCGCTGATGCTGCTGCTGGTTCATAGTAGTTGGGCACGCGATTGCCTGTGCAGTTGTAGTACTTACTGCTGGTACTGGAGCTCCCCTATGTTTAGGATCTCAGCTCCGCTACCACGTTAAAATCGGTGGTTACTTTGCTTTCAAGTGCAAGTGCTGTAGTCAAGTGCAAGTGCTGTAGTGTTCAAACAAATAGTCAACCGATTGTAGTCTGCAGCAATCCACCTTTTACACATGCGATGTAGTGAGCTCAAGGCCTGCAGTACATGAAACACAAATGCAGGAAGTGAAGCATGTAGTTTGACATCTGTCTCACTCACTCCTCCCTCTCTCTCTCTCTCTCTCCCTCTCTCTGCGGAGGAAAAGCGATGAAGTAACACAGAAAAGAATGTACCCAACATCTCTGCATTAGGAAAATCAGTTCCGATTCCACACTGGGATATAAGTCTGATCCCAAGGGCATGTCTCGGCACGACCATGTCCAAAATTCCTACGTGCAGGCTGTGCACTCCGCTTTGTTTTGATACCCCCGGAAAACTGCCAAGGACTGGGAACGCATGCCACAGCTTCACAAGCAGCGCGACACGAGGTTCAAGCGGGTCCTTGGACAGGGCCACGCCACCTCGGTTGGATCTCTGAGAGATGCACATGCGCTCGAAGCAACACCCTACCAGCCGCAACCAAACCAGCTGTCGTGAAATGCTGGGCAAGAGCAGGGCTCAGATGCACCTCTGCGCACCTCAACACTTGCTCATCACTATGGTGTGGGAGACTCGTCACTCTTGACGGCCTGTCAAAGAAATGAGGCTGCTGGCCATGATGCGGCGAACACATTTGCCTTTGCAGCGTCATGTTCACACCCAATGAGCCGTGATGAAGCTGGATCCCTTTTGATGAAATTCGGCTCACCCTGCCCGCTCAGCCAGCGGCTGTTGCCCTCGCTATCCTGCTTCTGGTACACGCAGTTGTAGGAATTGTCATCCGACAGCTGTGAGCGGAAGGTGTACAAAAGCTTGTACCTTTGCTCGTGCCACAAGGGTTGCCTACCTTGTATAGCGCCCGTAAAGCTTTGTTGACGCGTTTGCCAACACATTTGTGCCTGAACATTCTACACCTCCCCGCTTCATTATGCCAACCTGCATGTCCCACGCTCACCACCCGGCAAAGGCCGGTGAATCAAGGTTCTACTGACGAAGTGACAACCTGTACTCCTGCTGATATGTGTCCGCACTTTTGGGCTGACAACAAGATGGCGCTTCTTGACATTCGGGCCATGGGTCAAAATCCAAATCGTACCCCCAGTGAGCATCCCAATCCCCACTAAAATCGGTGGTGAATTCACCTACCAACCAAAATGGGATCCCAAAACGGTTTTGACAACCACAGCCATTTCAAAAAAAACCATGGACGCCATGGCTCGCTCTGGTCTTCTGCCGCGGCACTTGGCCTTCATAGAGTCCAGAACCCGGCTGGAGAGAAGCAGCGCACAGCCACCGCAGCGAAAAAGCGTATTCCTGAACCCAAATCCCATAGGTGGCTGGTGGCTGTGGTTGTCAAAACCGTTTTGGGATCCCATTTTGGTTGGTAGGTGAATTCATCACCCATTTTAGAACCTATTTTAGTGATTTTAGTGGGGATTGGGGCCCGGCCACGAGAGGAACCACTGGGCTTGAGATCTACCGGTTTTGTATTGTTGCGTAAACCCACTCCCCCAGACGCTTATGGAAACTCTGCTGCCCTGAAGGAGCCACCGTGCCTTCAACTGATGCCTCATTGTGCCTACATTTGACCTGAAGATGACAAGAGGAAGCACCTAGAAGACGGCAAAGTTGGCCCTCCGCTCTGCATTCCCACAATACGGGAATGCAAAAAGCGCGTGATGCAGGCGGGGTACACTCAAAGCACTGACAATATGCGTGCGTGTGCGCGGAGGAAATTTACATATCTGGCGTTGATCGGTAAAGGGCCAACTTTTGACAGGACCCCCCACTTCTACGGGTAGGGGGGAATCAATGAATCTAACATGGGGCTCGCAGTGGTAGGAAACCATTCTACCGCTGATAGTCATGAGTCATGAGTATTGGCACCTGCTGCCCTGCCCCAATGCACGGCTTACAAGCGCATGCCAGGTGTCTGCAGCAGCATCGACTTGTCGTTGCCCTTGTACAGGTTTTGTGTGATGTTCCTCCGCCCGAAATCGATCAGAAAAAGGTCGGCCAGCCAACATCGCTCGAGTCCGACTCGTCCGGCCAAGGGGCTCCATGGATATCACCAGAGCCCGTGATCCCGGGCGGTTCTCCAGCAGCTGCTTGGCAAGATCTACTGAGATCACCTCAGCGAGTGACTCAGGCTGTCAGGCCCCCCTGAAGCACGAAACCAGCCAACGGCTGCGGTGTCGCATGCGTTAGCCTTGCCCCCTTAAGGCGCCAGCGTTTGCGGAGCAGCCCATGCCCCCCAAGTTGTAGGATCGCACATCCTGGCCACGGATTGCCAAATGGAAGAGTGGCCAACCCTTGTCAAGGCCAAGCTGGCATTGGCAGAAAGCTTCAGCAATATGGCCATGGGTCCCCAGTGGACATCCCAATCCCCACTAAAATAGACTAAAATGGGTGATGCACCTACCCCAAAATGGTACCATTGGTTTTGACCCACAGCCATATAGAAGGAAGACGGAAGGCCAAATGAAATAAAAACAAAACGTTCTGCTCAACAACGCGAACTGGCAATAGCTAAGCCCAGGATGCCCAACAGCGGAGCCCCGTCGAGCCCTCCGGAACCCGCAAAAAAGCTGCAAACGATTCGGGCAGAGACTCCATAGCTTTGAGCTGGGGAAAAAGTGAAGTGCGGCCTTGAACCATTTCCACACACACTTGAGGCGTTTCCTTCGCCTTTTTCTTTTTTTGGGGGGGTTGGCTTGCATCATATTAGGTGTGACATGTGGATCCCTCCAGGCATCTAGTGATTGGACAATCCCTCCTGGCGCAGCCCGAACTCGTTGCACACCATCGCGCAGAGCGAGGGTGTGGGGCAAAACCTTGGCCAGGGCTTCCAATTTTCACCTGTAAAATGGGCCGGGGTGATCTTTGAAACCACCTGAAGCCTTCGGCTCGACCCGAACCACTGCGACACTGGACCCCTCAACACTGGAAACGAATCACAAGTTCGCCAGGTAGCAGGGAGCAATTCACAATGAGGAAATCAATCTGCTGAGGCTTCACCTCACGGCCGAGACTACGCACCGCCTGTCCCCATCAAATCGCCTTATGGCAAGCAGGCTGAAAAGCACCAAAGCTGTGAAAACTTGGCCGACTCAACGCAACATTCTGGCGTGACCAACCCAGCTCTCAGACCGCAGAGATTCTTAGGCCCAACTTGTCGCTTCCAAACTGTCAGCGCCAAAATCCAACCGTCTGCCTTGCTGCGCTTCAGCAGGTCTCGCACCAGCGAAAACATCACCTTGGCATCTGTGAGTTGGTGGCAGGTGATGCCATCTGACTTGGAGCCGAATCTGAAGCGACATTCACAACCACTCGCCCACATCACCGCTGCAAACAACCGAATCAGCTATCTGCGTGTCAGCACCGAGACCTCTGACTACCCAACACCCTCGCTGTTGCCGCGCACCTCCTGCGCCTCGTTCCGCGCAGCCGCCATATTGCACACAGCCTCGCACGGCTCTTGGCTTGATAAGCACTGCGCATCCTTGCGCAGCAGGGCTGTGTTTCAGATTGGCAAATGTCTCGGACCCCATTGCCATTGTCGTGCCTCGGTGTTGCCATCTCTGGAGCCGAGAATGCCTGGCCCACAGGCAGGCAATAGTCAAGGACTGCCTGCCAAAACGCTTTCGTGAGGAAGCCACAAACTTCGCTTTTCAACGATGCCCGTCCCAGTGTCCATGGATCTGACCCTGAAATATCAAGGAGGATACTCCCACTTCCGATTGAAAGCCAAGTCTTAGGGTCATGGGATCCAGCCTAAGGTCTAAGGGGCTGAGCAAACTGCTTGCCCCGCCTGGCGGCCAATGCGTGGACGGGCCAGTGCCCGAATTATCCAGGATCCGCTGCTGGAAGTCAATGGAGGCTTCCTTGGACTGCTCAATCTTCCCTCCCTCTCCCGCACCACCCCCCCCCCCCGCGCATGCGGTTAATCCGAAATTCGCTTTTAATCCGCGTTTTAGCTGGTAACCCCCCTAATCCGTAATCCTTGCGGTTTATCGCCATTTGAAGTGGGCCTGACAAAGCCTCATACCAGTAGCAGGCATCCACGACTCCATCCTGGAAGAGTGACCCCACTGGGGCCCTTTCACATGCCCCAGTGTCATTTTGGGGCTGCCAAGCGTGTTGTTCTAGTGAAACACCCCTTAAAAAGCTGAAAAGCAGTTCCCTCACAATGTAGTTGGGTGTCCTACACCTAAACGGTCTAATCCGTAAACCGCACAATCCGTAATCCGCTAATCATTGGGGATTAGGCTTGGGACAGGTTAGAATAATGGACTAGGTAACCGTGGGTAACTTTTCCCACTGAGTGGGGAAATACCCCGGAAGGCCCAAAAAGGCGGTTCCTCGTCTTGGCATGGCAAAAATTGATGCCAACTGCTCGCACATAGTAAACCACTGCCTGCGGACTCTAAGGCCGAAGTACCCACTCCAAAGCCCAAGTAATCATTGTATGTTGCGTCAACCTCTGGACCATCCATCAAGCGCACATCCAAAACTGCCAGTCTGCGCTCCCCAAGTCGGCGGACCCAACCCTGCCTAGCCCAAGGTTTTGGCAGTTGTCTCATGGCTTTCAGCGGCCAAGTCTCGTTAAAACAATGCTGCGCCTCCAGCATTTTCACGATCTGCTTCTGCGACACCTTGCATGACAAATGGGTTTCTGTTGAGGATAATCAGTTTAAAACCACGATTTGCGGGGGGCCTGCTATTTCTTACTCCTTAAAACTCCAAGCCCTGGGGAAGTTAATCTTTTACAGACATATAGCCCATGTTGCCCAAAAAGTTGAAAAGTTGTGTTTTTAAGAGGTAAGATTTTGACGCATACCCACACTGCTGAGCGAACCGGCCTCAAAAAAGCGCAGTGTGCGCTCCCTGCCTCCCAATCTTGTGGCGGCTTGTACACTAAGTTCTCCAAACCTCGCGAGGCTTGCCACGCTTTCAGGACGAGCGCTGACTCCGATTGACTTCTTCTCTTTAAGATGGAGGTCCTTTGGCATCAAAAAAATGGGGACCAACCCTCTCCCACAACCCAGCAATGCACCTGATATCCCTATGTGAGAGTCAATCACAGTTGTCAAATCGGCGTACGTCTCTTCCAACTGAGGTACCTGCCCACCCGGTAACCCCTCATCAAGAAGAATGGACTATCATGGCCAACCTTCGCTCCGTTCCTTCACTCGGTTCCATTTATCGCATAGCTACAAAGCAACCCTTCCAGGCTTGAGCCATCAGAATCCATCAACGGTATTGCACCCTTCCTGCATCCTCAAGCAAGACCTCACTAGAGGTCTTGCGCGAGCGCGAGCTTGAACGAGACTGCCGGGCGCGCTAGTGGCTAAGAGCACCCCAAGGCCAAGCCGCAATACACAGAAGGCTTGTGCTGGCTCATGTAGGCCAAGATCAGGGCGGCAGCCCCGATGACCTCACAAAAAACTTGTGCGAGCGTGTGTTGCATCTGGGTACGTAAATCAAACTGCACAATCAAACTGCATAATGAACGGCATAAAGTGGATACACCTATGAGTACAAATGTGCTTTCATTCCTGCATATCATGCATGAAGGCTTCGCTTGACACACGTTCGATCCGGGATTCTTGGCTTTGCTTGTGGCAGCGGACACTCCGGACCTCATGACCTCTGAGAGGCCAGTTGGGTGAACGGATGGCCAGTTGGGTGAACGGAATGCCAAACTATTCAGCAAAGCCGTGATCGCCGAACCCGTTCGCCCAAGGTAGGACCACACGCCTCTCTTGACCCGAAGGATTGCACTTGGGGAACTCAGTGACAGTATCAATATCCAGACAGGTCGCTTGCATCACCAGCGGCTCCTGCAACAAATGCCAGGCACGCCGGAAGTCTTCCAAGCGCCACATGTACAGCTGGGAGACCATGAGGCAGCTGACCTGGCGACGCAAGGAAGCATTGCCTGACTTCGCCGAGAGATGCCGCATCGCAATTCATCCCCCGCCGAATCTGGGCAGAAGTTTGGCCAAGAAGCAGTAGCGATGGCGAGGCCATACGCCATGGGCAAGTACTCTGCCAGGAAGACATACGACCAGTTGATGGTCCTGAAGCCAAGTAGCGTCCATGTCCCGCCCGTGAGGCGAATTTGACGAATCCGGCTGGAAAATCTGCGGCAGTTGTCTTAAAGAAGCAAGTCTGGCGGCCGTTTGTTTAGTTGACAGGGGCATAGTCATTCGCTCCTTACATCCCAACTGTTTGCGTGAGGGAAGGGTCGGAAAAAAGATTGCGTTTGGGCCCAACGCGTCCTGATTCGGAGGGACTTGGGCTCCCAGTAGTAGACCTTAGGACAAGTGGCCTTGGGCCAAGCTGCTCGGCGCAGACAGCAAGTGCCATCAAGCCACATCCTTGTCCACACGGCCGAGGTTGCTGCCGGAGCTGATGGTTCGCCTTAATAACTTAACTTCGGGTCGAGTTCGGATCGCATGCAAGCGCGATCCAATGGCCAAGTGGCTTGACTTGCTCAAACTCTTGCAAGTCCATGGCGAGCTTGCCTGGCGTACGGCAATGCGGCAAGCGTTGAACTGTGCTGGCATTCCTTCAGATCACCGGCCCAATTTCAGATCAAACCTCTATGCAGTAACTAGGGCCCAATCGGCACGGACTTCCCACAACTTCGGCCCAAAACCCCACAGAGCTTCCTAATTTCGAGCAGCGGAATCTGCGGTCTTGGGCCTAACGAAGGTAAAGCCTACTTGGCAAGCCGGGCGACACCTGCGACGTCTCAAACATTACGCACGCCCCCGTCGCGCCTCCCAGCAGCCGCTGTATGACTGTCGTCTCCATACCCCTGCCGGCTCAGGGGGGGTGCAAAGCAAAAGCGGTCATTCCAAAGGCGCGGGGCAACCAGGCAAATTGCAGAAAAACCCGCAGGCGAAATAAGAGACCCCTGAGAAGGATTCTTCATCTGAGGCTTTCCGTGTCTTACCCAGGTCGGCGCGATCAGGAGCTGCAGTCAAGACAGGGGGAAGGCAACCGACCACAGGCAGCGGGAATTTCTAAACAAATAGAAGTTGATGCAGCAAGCAGCTTGTTGAGTCGCAAGCAGCTTGTTGAGTCGCAAGCAGCTTGTTGAGTCGCAAGCAGCTTGTTGAGTCGCAAGCAGCTCGTGAAACATGTGGACACTCACCAAATCATGCCATGAGGAAAATACCACGTCACAAAGGTGGAAGAAATAGTGGGAGCAGAGGAAATGAAGGTGGGTAAAATACTTCTGCAATTCAATCGGGATGCCTTGCACCCAGAAACCAAGCATGCACGTGTGGACTCAGATTCCTGCAGGAAGACACTTTACCTCCCTCCCGCCTGGGTGGCGCGCGGGCCCACAGGAAAGAGCAGCAACAAGTCTCAGCAAACTGGCTTGGAACCCGCTTGAGGCCCTGCTGAGGTGAAGTGCGGTGCTGGGACCCTGGGAGGCCGCTCCCTTGGCTTTGGCTACAGCGCTTCATGACTCAGACATCTGCGTTTGGCGTTCCCAGAAAACTGCGGGCATTGCAAACTGAGCCACTCATAGCGGACGCAACACTTCGGCAGGCGTCCCACACGGATTGACCCAAGGCCAAACCACGCGGTTTGGCCGGACCGCAAATGATATGGCGCCTGATCTCTGCCAGGTCCCGCTCGCTGAGACCTCAGCCGGTCTCAACGGCCTCCGAGCCCGGAGTGAATAGGCGGTCTGGTGTGGTCGAAATGGGGAACAGCTAAAATCCGGCGGCCCGGGTCTCCCCAAAAGGCCTTGGGCAAAGTATAATGACCAAGAAGGGACCCCCAAGAAAGGAAGTTTCACTTGTCGCGACCCCGTGACGTCGCACCAAGGGAGACCATTCGTTCGCCTGAGGCAAATGGCGTCCCAGCGCGCGGGGCACGGAGTTCCCCAAAGAGCCCAGGGACTGTGCGCCTGAGCGGGGCGCCTTGGCTCGGATTCAGTAGCCATTGGCTACCCTCCTGGCTCTTCCCCACCCAAAATAACCTCGCCTTTGGCCAGCATGGTGCTGGAGCTTCGTGCCCTGTTCGCCAGCTCCTGACATGAGTCCGACCTCTTATTGCAGCGGCTTCGACCCGCCGAAGGCTCGCAACCTTACCCGAAACACGTCACAGCCACGCGTGGCAAACCCGATGCGCGCAAGCGTTGACAATTTCCTTGCCTACCAGTAGCGTAAACCCTGCTGACACTGCACGCCTCAAACATCGCCGACCAGACAAGGCGAAGCAACGCGCTCCTGCGGCCGCATCTTCCCCAGCGCCGAACACACCGCCGCTTTCGGCCCATCCCACGAAGGCGCGCCCGAAGCCGCCGAGGCGCCAAAGGCCCAGCCTGGACCGGGGGATGGAGCCCGGTCTAAGAGGTTCCCCGAAAACGACTTCCTCGGGGAGCATGTTCCCTTGGAACCCACCTGGGAATGCATAAAAAACCCCACCCTTTCCCTTCCACTTCTTCGACGTTTTCGTTTTTTCGCCCCCATCGTTTTACTACAACGTTTTCTTCAAGTTGGCAAGCCAAGCTCGAGAAACCAAACTTTTAAGTACAAGCGCGGTGAGCGACGTACGCTTCCGCAACTCCAGCTGCAAAATCGCAACTTTGTAATACAAGTGTAGTAAACAAAGTACACTTCCGCAGCTCCAGCTGGTGTAGCTCGCGGGGAAGTACACTCCCGCAGCTCCAGATCAAAAACCTCAACTTTGTAGTACAAGTGTAGTACGTGAAGTACATTTCTGCACGGAAATCGCAACCGTGTTGCAGTGTAGTAAGCGAAATACACTTCCGCTGCTCCAGCTCGAATTCGCAGCTGTCCAGTATAAGTGTAGTAAACAAAGTGCACTTCCGCAGCTCCAGCTACTGCAGCAAACAAAGCACACTTCCGCAGCTCCCGCTTCAGCAAAACAAAGTACACTTGGCAAGTCTAGTTCTATAAAACGGTATCCCTTTTTTCCCTCATCGTCCTCTCCGCAAAAAGTCCCACCCAGACTAAACTGCAACTGGGGAAGCCATCGCTTTTTGCCGGAATCTCATCGGGTGGGGGTCGTTTGGCTTGATGAGACAACTTCAAAGGATCCCAAAAGCGTGATTTGAAAAACACGAGCCCACTAGCTTCAGCGCCCAGACATGCGAAGTGGGAATCCGCTGCCCCGTTCTCTCTCTCTCTCTCTCTCTGCCGCTGCGTCCAGAGGGTCTTGACTCAGCAAGGCAACGAAAAAGATGCCCACTGATATTCAGGGGCACCAACATACTAGGACAACCTGGGCAGACATCAAGTAGGAAGGATTCCACGGCCCATACTGATTGCCCGTATTCAAGAGCCTGCATTCCATCGGCTTGCCATTTTAGCTTAAGGCTCAACGGCCCCACTGCCACCAGCCACTCCTCTGGGAGGTCCTTCTGCACGTTTCAATCACGTATCCCATTTGGCCCATCATCCATCTGTCACTACGAGCTGGAAAAAAAAAGAAAAAAAACAATCAAGCCCTGTGAACGTCCCAACTCCTGGCCTCTGTTTGCAAGCCCCTGCGCCGTGAGGTCCGGGGCCAGCTGCACAGCGCGGGCACCCGCCTGGCAATGCGCTCGCCCTGGCCACTCTCAGCCCCACAATTGCATCACGCCATTCCTCAATTTGAGAACCTGGTGCATCATTAATCAGCTCACCAAAACGCCCGGGTTCTTCACCCACCTCCTCCAAAGGAGGCTGGCCCCGGCACTGCGTTGTGGCAGCGCCCCGCACCAGGTTGGCCAGATCCTGACGCCAAGACAATCCTGGAACACCCTCCGCGCAAGACAAGAAACCTGGTTCCAGCCTGCTCTGTAAAGCGTTCCGTCATACCCCTGGCAGCCTCAGCTAGCAGGCAGCTAGCAGCTAGGCCGCAGATCGGTAACTGTTGCCGGAGATCTTTTCAGCTGGGAACTTACTCCTCTGTCTGACACGATCAAACATGCAACCCAAAACAAGGAGAGACCTTTTGCAATCTTGTGGACATGCGATCGGCTGCGCACCATCTCAACGCAACGACAATGACCAACTCAACGTGTACGACGCGCTGAGGCCATGGCTTTGGCCAAGGTGCCGAAGGCCGGCTCAAGGCCACGGCGCCTTGGCCAGCGAATGGAAACCTGCCTCTACTTGGCTGTGGGTCCAAACCGATGGTACCATTTTGGGGTAGGTGCACCACCCATTTTAGCGGGGATTGGGATGCTCACTGGTGGGGGAACGGGATTTTGACCCATGGCCACTTGGGCTTCATGGGGAAAAACTCAGGCCATGCGCCCCAAACCAACGCAAGACCTGGACAAATACCGCGCTCGCAGCAACTTTGCGGCGCCCCTGCCGCGAACTCTTGCAGCTTCAGCTCGCCGAACCGCCAAGCCCGCCGCAGCTTGGCCGCTGCCCGTGCTGTGCTCGCAGTGCCCCGCTGGTCAAAGGTAAAAGCCGCCTGACGGCGCTTGTTCCCAGGCGAGTGCAGCACCTCTTCTTACTCGTATTGTCCGGTTGACTGACTGGGAACTGCAAGTGATGCGCTCTCACTGCAACGGGTGCCCAGCAGCCATGCGCCTGATCCGCTGCTTGGACCAAAGCCTCGCGCAGGATGCCGCGACGTGTTGTGAAGAAGGAGGGCCCTGAATCTCTGCTGCCAAATTTGATGAGTCTGCAAAGTAGTACAGGTAATTTAGCTGTCACACTTGTGAGCTGGCATTTCAACGGGCCAAAGAAAGCTGCATCTGGTCAAGCTGGTGACTTCCTATGCGCTTGGCAGGTGTTTTGTTCCAGTTTCTTCGGACCTTCCATTTTCGGAGGCTGGACTCTCCGCCTAGAAGCTTCTGCTTGCGGTCACGCCGGAGCCCTCGGAATACACGAGGGCAACGGGTTGCGAGCGCCAAGCCCCGGGGCCGGGGCCGGTAGTCGCGCCAGCTTGCCGAAGGCGGTGCTGATGTTCACCGTGTTGAACTCGCTGCCCGCCCTGGCGAGGTATCGGTGCTCTCGCTCTGTCTCACTCTCGTTTCCTTCCAGCCCTTCC